GTTGGGCTAATATGTGATTTTAAAGGTGTCTGCTTGGGGTGTATCCCACTTGTGCCCTGTGACAGGTGGGATAGTTGGATAAGCAGATAAGAAAACGTACAGAAGGATGTAGTTGCAACACATGGTGCATATTTATGTCATCAGTTTTCATCACAACTCTACTGATGCAAATTTGGCAGTGATCACCAGATATCTTGGAAGAACTTCACAACAACACTTAATTTTGGAATTACCTGCTCATCGACTATGTACAAGCGTAAACTGGTTTGCCCAAATAATTCTGGCAGTGGTATTTTTGTTAAAAACTTGTGAAAATTACAAGAAAATCAGATGTGGTATAATTAAATATGACTCCAGCTTTTCCCTTCGAGTGCTTCTGAAGTGTCTGGGATCCCAATCATTTTTACCTTGGTTGTTGCTTTAAGACTCAGTGCCACCCGATGCTGCATCACATAGTCAACTTAAGCATCATGGTGGAGTTCTGAAAGAACCCAGCATGCGCTTTTGGTACAAAGTCCCATCGGACAGGCAAGGTAGAGATGAAGGGTAGACTAAGGAGGAGGAGAGAGGATGCTATGTGGAGCATAGAGAGCCTCACTGACGTAGAGAAGGGTTGTGTACTGAGTGGTGGAGAATAGGAGAGGAGGGGGGCTGTAAAGAAAGAGAGAGGGATAGTCTGCTTACAAGCACGCTACAGTACACTTCAGTGTTACACAAGAGAGAGAGCACACCATGACTGCCTAGCACAGAGAGAGCAAGCAAGAGAGACGGGGAGTGTTGCTCTCCTACCTCTATCTGAGTAAGTATGGCGCTATCTCTTCTACATCAAAATTCCTTGCCTCAAATTGCTCAGACCTCACAGCAGGTCTGATTTTTGGATGATAAAAGATTTTGGCTGACTTTGAAGAGAATGGAAAAATCTTTCCTCATTAAATTTTGATTGAAAGTTTGAAGAGTTGAGTTGTTTGCAGTTGTTAAAGTGGGGGAAGACTGAATTTTGATCTCCATTTGACCGCTGTGAACAGATCTGATGGATATCCAGCTTCCTCACCCTCAGCACTCACATTTCACGGGAAATGTTGCACTAAAGCAGAAAATGGCATTTAGTGCAGTTGTGTGAAAGAGGAGCAATGGTGGGAAGCTGTGGGCATGCTCGCAAGCGTTTCTTTCTCCGCTGGTGGGGGGAAGGAGTGCATTTGGGACCGCTAGGCTTCCTGTGTGGGGTCAATTAAATACTGCATGAGACAGAGCACTAAAAGCCTGTCCCGCGAGGAGCCAAGTGCTTTGTGTGTGTTTGTGCGTGCACGTATATGTGTGTGTGTGCTGGTGCATCAGTGTGCAAAGCCTTGATTAAATTTGATGAACCAGCAATGTTGAGAGGACAACTAAGGTTCCACTTCCAGCTTCTTTGAGGTCCTCTCCAGAATCTGTGCACCGGTGTTCTTGTTATTATCTTGATAAAAGAAAAGACAATAGCCTACAATGTGCTTTCATGTATCCACAGGACTGGTTTAATCTAGAAAATCCATCGGTATCTATCTAATTCACTTTTGTTAACTGACATCTTTCCTCGCCTACACCGTGTAGTCACTGAATAGTTTTGAGACTTAACGTGAGCGAGAACACTTTCTTTTCAATGTAAAGCTGGATTGCGTGAGTATGTAGGCCACCATTACATATTGATAAGCCTGAAATCCCCCCCAGTTAGCTCGGTGCGCTAAACAAGACACGCCAATTAGGCCCAACTCAAATCTAAAGCCTAAATCAGGTCATCTTTTAACAAACACATCTGACTTAATGAAGGATGCAGTTCTGTTTAATTCTGCACTGCACTGTCGGTACACAGCTTTATGTGGGTTAGCTCCAGCCTCTCTGCGCTTTGAAGCAGTTTGGTGAAGTCAGGTTGAGGGATCCCCGGGGGGATGAAAGTCTAACGATGCACAGTCGGCAAGGCCAAGTTGTCAGCATGGATGAAAGATATTCCTGGCTACGCTCGCTGCGTCTTCTTCTTCTGTATGCCGGCGTCACTGACAACCCATCCATAACTAGTCACATATTTACGTCGTCAGTGTTGTATTCGCAGCAGTTATCTGTGCAGCTGACAAATGCAAGGTGTATTCACCCCTTAGGTCTCCTTAAAGAGTGGAGTTGGTGTTGAGAGAACAGCTGTTTATCAGTGTGTCCTCATAGGCTGCAGGGTTTTCCAGAGGCTCATTAAAGACTGGGATAAAGTATTCTGAGGTAACATTAGAGCAGGAGGAGGGTGGAGCTCCAAAGGACAGTATGGAGTATCAATCTGGGTGCCTCTAATATTGATCCACTCTGCCCTACTCTGGTTGCATTTCTCTCTGGCTCTGAATGATCCACCTTTCCCTGTACTGCTGCCTCAGCTAACACTTCTCACAGAAAGTACGGTGCCTTTTCATGAGTTACAAGGCCAGAAAGATGAGCGGTTGACTGCAGAGTTCCAGCACGTTAATCTCCATATTTGTCGTTAAGATCTGGAGCTGTTTTTTTAAAGCCCAGATGGCACAGGGCTTCTCACATTGTTTACAGAACAAGAGTATGGTTGGAGAAAAGAGAGACAGATAATCATAGAAAGTAACGGCGTGCGAGAGTATCAAATAAAGATCTGCTCGTGCTCGAAAACGATTTGATCTTCACTGAGCTGGTTTCAAATCTAATATTTAACTCTGGGTTTTGTTTTGTTTTGTTGCCTTTTTTGGATTCAGTACTTAATACTTGGATGCCACTGATAAAACTACTTTCAGTGCTTCTTTATTCACAATGGGGTCACCACAGCTGGTAGCTCCGCATATTTGATTACGCAGACTTTTACACTGAGTGCCCTTCCTGATAAAAGGGATCCAAAGGATTTGTGTCTCCTTCCAGGACTTAACAGAGGATCTTTTACTTGTCAGTAAAATAATTTTTTTAAACCCTCTTCTATCACTACCAAAACCATATTATTATATTTTTGACAGCTGCTTCAAGATAAACAAACCATATATACAAACATAAAATTACTTAAAAATGTACACTTTTACACGTTTCTGTCTTTCTCTAAATGCATCTCATTTTTTGTCTTCATTGGCTTGTGTGAAATCTGAACAAAATTGCTATTATAAGGTACAACTGCACCACAATATTAAAAATA